GGGTCAAATTTCCAGGAGTGTTTAACCACTATACCACCAGGGTGCCTTCTGCCAACCCAAGAGTAGGAAAGTATTTTCTGGAAAGGACCAGATAGAAACGAGTTCAGGTTTTGCCAGTCAAGTGGCAGAATCAAAGGTAGTATACAGGTGCTTATAAAGCAAGAGTGAAAACTCCAGGCCAACCCTGCACGGTCTAGTAGGAGTGGGTCTTTCTGAAGGGTGACCACATTCTGCATCCAATTGTCATCAGCTGTAGACATTCTCCAGGTGAAGAAGACCACCAGAGGGGCAGAAGCCTGGCCAATGGACAGAGGATGGAGGAGGTTCCATGGTCAGTTCACTCTGCTCCAGAAACAGGCAAACACCGGCACACTCTTCCTTTCTCCCAAGGAGCGTCCTCTCAATTGGTCTGAAGGTGATGCGGCCTCAGTGGAGACCCCTTCACTCAATACTCTGCAGGTGCCAACAGCGCATAGGTGGTGACAAGCACAGACCCTGGGCAGTGGCCAGGTAGTCAGGAGCAGAGCATGAAGAGGCTAATGGGCAGAGCACTCACAATGCTGGTGATGTCGTCAGTGTGCAAGCTATAGACTGTCAACCCTTGAACCAATCCCACTGAAAGTTCGGGCTATATGGAAATTAGCATCTACTATACCAGGAAGCCCAAATAATCCATTCTGACTAAACCATTCTCTTCCCATGGCTATGGTCTCTTAGAAGTAGAGGGCTACGACTTTCTTCCTAGGTGGTTCTTGTTGTTGTTGTTAGGTGCCACTGAGTCAGTGCCAACTCATAGTGACCCTAAGCACAACAGAAGGAAACACTGCCCAGTTCTGCACCAGCCTCACAATCGTAACCTAAGAGCTCATTGGTGCTGCCACCATGACAGTCCATCTTGTTGAAGCTCTTCCTCTTTGTCATTGACCCTGCTGTTTACCAAGCATGATGTCCTTCTCCAGGGACTGGTCCCTCCTGATCATATGCCCAAAGTACAAGAGATAAAGTCTCCCCATCCTGGCTTCTAAGGAGCACTGTGGCTGCACGTCTTCCTAGGTGCCTCGGGGGAGATTCAAATAGCTAATTTTCCCATTAGTACTAACTTTTCCGTTAGTAGCCAACCAACCACTTAACCATTTGCACCATCTAGGGACTTTATTCAACCGTTAACCGCTGACTGTCCAAATGTGCCCTTTGAGAGTTCATGTTACCATTTGTATATTCAATCCAGAAATCTCTTTTTTTATTTTATTTTTGTTTGGTTGTTTATTGTTGGAGTAAAATGGGAACAAGATAAGTGAATTAGTCACAGTTTGTTGTTGTTGTTGTTGTTGTTATGTGCCGGGGAGTCGGTTCCGACTCACAGCGACCCTGCACAGGGTTTCCGAGGCTGTAAATCTTTACGGGAGCAGAAAGCCTCATCTTTCTCCTGCGGAACCGCAGGTAGTTTCAAACTGCTGACCCTGAGGATAGCAGCCCGATTCATAATCACTACGCTACCAGAGCTCCTTAGTCACAGTTTGGAAGCTCCATATTCCAAGTGGAAAAGCTGTTCTGCCACATACACCTGGTTCTTTTTCACTGTGTTAGTGACCTGGGACAGAGGAATTCTACTGGCTCACTAGCTGATCACATCTATAGTGAAGCGGCAAAGGGATTTTAGTCCATGGACACATAAAGCCATGTCCACACTGAGGCTTCCAGAATTTTCCCTTTCCTCTGCATAAACTGGTCTCTCTCCTCTCCTCATTAGCTTTCTTCAGCCAATGCCTCAAGCCCCAGGGAGCCTCTACTAGGAAAGCAGACACATCCCTGACCTAGACGAGGGTACTGGCTTCTCCGCGGTGATCCCCTTCATGTCAGCTGGCATACTCCCGTCAGAACACCACACGTTCAGCTCCCCAAAAATGCCTGTTTCAATCATCTCCTCTTGCCAGGGGATGGGACAGTTGCCGGATGCAAATTCCTCAAAGAATTCTGTATCTGTTTTGTCAAAGACCACGCCTTTGACTGTGGAGAAGGCACCTACGTCCTGAATGTTCTTTGCATAGACGGTTCTGGAGTCGGGGATGAAAGGAGGGCTCAGCATTCCTGTTAGAAGAGGGGAAGCAGCGTAAGCTTTTTGTAAAAGAAACAGCCATTTAACCCAAGAAGTCTTTCTTCTGTAGCTCAGGTGAAAATGCTCCTCGTATTTGGGGGCAGGTGTTGCTATTGTGTCGGGGAGTTGGTTCTGACTCATAGTGACCCTGTCTGTATATAGGGTTTCTGAGGCCTTGTAAACCTGTAAGGGAACAGAAAGCCTCATCTTTCTCCCGAGGAACGGCTGGTGGATCTGAGGTGCTGACCTTGCGGTTAGTAGTCCAGCTCATAATCCACAACATCACTAGTACCTTCCCACAATGCACATGTGGTTATTGTTAAGTGCCGTCGAGTCAGTTCTGACTCATAGCGACTCTGTATAGGGTTTCTGAGGAGTAGCTGGTGAGTTGGAACCGCTGACCTTGTGGTTCAAAGTGACCTTGCAGTCTAGTGCTTATCCTCCAGAGCCATGCCAGGACTCCACAAGGCACATGGTGGTGCTACAATTTTGGTTGAAGAAAGCTGGAGAGTCTTGAAGTCTAATTTGGAAGATGATTGTGAAGGACCATGTATTCTTCCTCCTGCCTCTTTGCTGTGGCTCATCCCCCACCCCACCCCACCCCCACTGATTCCTTTAGAAATCTCATATTCTCACATTGCTCCACCCAGCCTCTCTGCCCAACCCCAGACCCTGAAGTCTCATGCCAACCTTCTAGATGACCATCTTCATCTGTAATCTAACACCGTCCAACTCAAACCATGTTAATATGGGTGGTGGTGGTGTGCTGGTGGAGTCGGTTCCAACTCAGAGCAACCTTACGTAGGCTGTAAATCTTTACGGGAGCAGAAAGCCTCATCCGGAGTGGCTGCTAGGTTTGAACTGCTGACCTGTGGTTAGCAGCTCAGCTTGTAATTCACTATGCTACCAGAGCTCCCTTCTAACTGATGTTGGTGGTGGTTGTGTACTGTGGAGTCGGTTCCAATTCATAGCAACCCCATATAGGGTTTCCAAGGCTGTACATTTTTACGGGAGCAGAAAGCCTCATCTTTTTCCTGCGAAATGGCTGGTAGTTTCGAACTGTTGTCCTTGTGGTTAGCAGCCCGACTCATAAACACCACAATTCTTCCAGTAACCAGATACAGAATATTAATCATGGATGGCTTCTCTCCCCTTCCCCAGCAGTGCCGTTTTGTCAGTTCTGACCCACAGCAATCCTGTACAGGGTTTCCGAGGAGCGGCTGGTGAGTTTGAACCACCGACCTTGTGGTTCAAACTGACCTTACGGTCGAGCGCTTATCCTACAGCTCTGCCCCAGCAGCCTACCCCACCACGGTTACTCCTCCACGTAGTCAATCAGCTGCCATGATGTTTCCTCCTTCCTCAGACCTACCTGTATTTGCTCCCTCCTTTCAGCTCACGCAGAAATTGTTCTAATTTATCCCCTCAATGGCCTGGAAATACACAACTGCCATGGTCTCAGGATTAATGATCAGGGATCCAGTTACTCCCTGTTCAAATCAGATGGTTCCTTTACAATTTACAACTCTTCAACAATCCAATCTTCCTTTTTAACTTGTAAAACACTTTTTCATGAGTTTTGGGTGAAGGTTTACAGAGCAGATCATCAGGTTTGTGTTCAACATTTCACAAGCATCTTATATCATCGCAGTGACTGCAGTGCCCTCCATGTACCATCCCTTCTCATACTTCCTCCCAGTTCCTGTCTCCAGTCCTCCTCCTCCCCTAGCCCTTCTGAACTCTGCCCTGGGGTAAGCGCTGCCCTTTCCAGGAGTTTCTTTTCCTGTTTTTCTTCCGCTCTTTCCAGGACCTTCTAATGTGACCCCTTTCAGAGCAATAAGAGTACAACCTTCTATACTTGGTAGTCAAGACGTTCCTAAACTTTCCTACTCATGTGTCCCTGAGATGACAGGTAGTTTGGGGCTTGCTGCCCACATTCACACCTTCATTGAGAACAAGTCTGCCTGCACAGCATTTGTCTTGTAACTTCTTGGAGACATGTGTATGTACCCTAACTTTCCTACTTCATTATTGATGCCTAGAGGGTGGCTGTGTGTCCTAAAACATCTCTCTCTCAGACACACACACTATTTTACACAAGAAACTAGATAACAAAAAATCTGGCTGAACGAACGAATTTCTCAAATCCTCCTTTCAGTCTGGATTATTGTTGTTAAATGCCGTCGAGTTGATTCTAACTCAGAGTATAGGGTTTCCAAGGAGCGGCTGGTGAGTTTGAACCACCAACCTTGCAGTTCAAACTGACCTTAAGGTCGAGTGCTTATCCTAAGGCACCACACCAGGACTCCAATCCTCCTTTCAGTTTGGATTATTGTTGTTGTTATGTACCCTCGAGTCGATTCCGACCCACAGCAACCCTGTATAGGGTTTCCAAAGAGCAGCTGGGTGAGCAGTTCAAACGGCTTTGCAGTCTGGCACATTAACCCACAGCGCCACACCAGTTTGGATCATGGTGGCGGTTACAGGCTGCAGAGTTGGTTCCGACTCATAGTGACCCTGCATAGGGTTTGCTAGGCTGTAAATCTTCATGGGAACAGAAAGCCTCATCTTTCTCCCACAGAACAGCTGGTAGTTTCGAACTGCTGAACTTGAGGTTCGCAGCCCTACTTGGAACCACTATGCCCCCAGAACTCCTTTGGATTTGATTATGTTGTTTTTGTTGTTAAGTGCTGTTGAGTCGATTCTGACACATAACGACCCTATACAGGGTATCCGAGGAGCAGCTGGTGAGCTTGAACTGCCGACCTTGCAGTTCAAATGGCTTTGCAGTCTGGCACATTAACCCACAGCACCACACCAGGGCTCCTTTAAATTATGGGGGATGGTAATGTAAAAGCAGGTTTACGTCTTATGGACTCTGAAGAATCTGCAACCTTCCCAGGCCTGAGGCAGGTTTTCCCAGGAAGCCTGGTCAGTTAGAGAATACTCAATCCAGACACACATGCTGGGGGATAAGGAGACCATTGGAGGCAGGAGGATAGCTATAAGAACACCCATCACCCAGGCCTCCCTGCTCTGCCCACAGATCTCTAAACTTCAGAGAGAGGCCAACTGGAAGGGTCAGGCAATGAGTTCAAGCACAAGACACACCCCTTCTGTATATTGGCCCCAAATCTAGAATGAGAGTAGCAGTACCAGCCTCAAGCTGTCTCCAGCGGATGTCTCTAAAGAGCGGGTTGGTGCGGAGCTCGTCACAAGTCCCGTGTCTGAACCCCAGCCGCTTCTCTGGATCCTTTTCAAGCAGCGCCTCACAAAAGTCCCTGCTGGTCTTGCTGAACTTCTCCGGGTACTTCACAGCTTCTGAGAGGACCCTCTGTCTCAGCTCTTTGTTCTCCACCTGCATGTCAGGAAATGCATCACATCAAGCCAAACCCACACCACATCTGTCAACTGCAGTAAAGCTGGTCAAGTGCACAGTTAGGAAGCAGGTAAAGGTGACACAACTCCGGTCCAGTGGGCCTCTCAGAAGACACGTCTCAGGAAGAAGTCCGAGATGCACTTACACTAGTGTCTCAGCAGCTAGAAACAACCTAGGGTGCTCTTGTTCCCAGCTATGTTAGCATTTTAAGTGTGTCAAAACCTCAAAGCGAAGGCATGAGACTCAAGAGGTGAGAGTCCCAGGTATCAGGCAAAGTTGAGGTGAAATAAATTTCCAGGGGAATCTGGTTGACTTCTTGGCTCATTGAAATAATCATTACATATGATTAAAAAAAAGAATAAAAAGAAAAAAAATGTAAACGTTACCACTATAGACCTGCCCTGCTGCTCCCATGCAGATTTAAGGGGTTAGAACCCTAAGGCTGATGCTCTGGTACCTTACTTTTAATCAGCATTATTCAGTTATAACCTGTAGTTGTTTGTTAAGTGTTAAGTGTTAAGTTGTTATTGAGTACTGTCAAGTCGGTTCTGACCCATAGCAACCCTGTATAGGGTGAGTGACGGGTGAGTTTGAACTGCGAACTTTGTAGTTCAAACCAACCTTGCAGTCCAGTGCTTACCATACATTGCCACACCAGGACTCTGTACCATAAAGGTGCCCATTTTATGTGTATGGTTTGACAAGTTTTGACCGGTGGCCCCCTTGTACAACCACAGTTCAACTACAGACTTCTCCTTCACCCCAGACGTCCCCTTGGGTCCCTTCAGTCTATCAATTGGTCCACCCCATGCCTATGGCAAATACAGATCTGTTTTCTGTTCCAATAGCGTCTATTTGCTTTTTGTAACATTTTGTATCAATGGAAGTGGACAGAAATACCCTCTATGTCTGACTTCTAGCTCTCAGCAAGTTGGTTTGGAGATGCATCCAGGTTGGCATGAACCCACAGTTTGCTCACTCTTATTGCTCAGTGGTGTCTCAGTGGTTGGGTGGACCACGGTTAGTTTGCTATGGATGTTTTGATGAGCTCCTAGAAGGACGCATCATGTATGATTTATACTCAGAAAAACTGGGGTTCTGGTTAGGGCTGCAGCTTCAGACTCAACATTAATACCAAAACAGGACACCTCAAAACTGGGCCTTCTATTGTGAGCCTCAAAGCTGGTCACCTACAAGTGAAATACGTACTGCTGGCTTGTTTGATTTTTGATTTGTGATGTAGTGAAGTATTGGGCAGCTAATCAAAAGGTTGGCAGTTCAAACCTAGCAGCTGCTCCATGGGAGAAAGATGAGGTCATGTGTTTCTGTCAAGTTTTACAGCCTCAGAAACCCTATGGGGCATTCTTCTCTGACCTATGCCTTAGAGATCAGAGTCCACTCACCGGCAATAGAGCGCTGTTTCCTGTTAATATAGATCAGGGGTGGGGAACCTTTTCTCGGCCTAGGGCCATTTGGATATTTATAATAACATTAGCGAGCCATATAAAATTACGAACTTCAAAATTAGCCTGCAATATTTGGTCAGGAGTCCTGATGTGGCGCTGTGGGTTAATGAGCTGGACTGCAAAGTCAGTTTGAACTGCAAGGTCCATGGTTCAAGCTCATCAGTCGTTCCTTGGAAACCCTATATAGGGTTGCTATGGATTGGAACTGACTCCAAGGCACGTTATCAACAACAGATTTGGTCAAATATTAACGCACACCTAACGTGATGGTTGGAACTGCAGCTGCCTTAGCAGGGTCAGCCCAAATAGTTTCATGGGCCTTGTGTGGCCTGTGGGCCGGATGTTCCCCACCCGATAGAGATAATACAGCATTTGCGAATTCAACATGTTTCTCATGTACAATTCAGTGAGACCAATTATATCAGTCATGCTAAGCAACCATCATCAATTGGCGTTGCTAAATTTTTCATCTTCATAAACAGAAACTCCTTGCTTCCCAAATAATTACGAACTCCTGCTCCCCCGACCCTGTTCTGTCTTTCTGTGCTGTTGGAAGCCCAAACCAGGCCCGACGTTACCAGTCACTCTGCCTAAAGCTTTTGTGGCTACCTGGGTTCTTTTCTGAATCCTTCAAAGGGCACGAGATTGACTAGGCTCACATTGAGCTGACGAAACGTCTGCTGCGCTACTGCGCAAAATCCCCGGCACAGGCGGAAACTGGACCTGCCAACTGGGGGTTCATGTTCAAGGCTGAGGTTCTGCCAACCTGAAAGAGTGATGACAGTTGTCCTCAATGTGTCATCCAGGAGCTGCTGTGACCTTTGCTTCCTGAAGCCTCCCTCTGCTCTGCTGACAAGCTCTTCCCTCCTGGATATTACCACATGGCACAGAGAAAACTTGGGTCTCTCTTGTAGGCCTTGAGACTCGGACTCCACCAATATTCCTGGGCAAAGGGTCTAGAGTTGCACTCACTGTTGGCTCAAGCAATTACATGGTTCTTCCTTGAACAGACTTCACCAACAACAGAGTAAACCAAACCACAGAACAAAAGTCGACTTCAATACCAAGCCAACCAGGTCATCAGGGTCTTTGTTTCAAGACAAGTGACAGAAACCTTACTATTGGGGGCTTCCTCTCCCTTCCAGCATCCCTGCTCCAACCATTTCATCAAAGCCCAAACCATCTCCTCTCCCTCATGAAACAGTCTCCAGAAAAATCAGGCATGATGTAAAACCTGGGGGACGGGTCAAGAGACTGACAATATCATCTGATAGTTTACAATGTGATTCAGTTGAGTAGCTAAAAGTAGTCTTGACACCAAAGTAGCAGAAAACATTCAGCATGGCTGCAGGAGTGTTGATTTCAAGCTTGGGGAAGAGAGTTAATTATTCAAGCTCAAGGTAGAATTACAGAGACATTGAGTGAAGGAAGGTTCTTCGGCTGTTAGAAGATTTCTATTTTAATTGGTTCCAAAATCTGTTCTAAGGGAGAACAAGTGTGGAAGCTTGAGAAGGGATAGGACCAGACTGGCAGACCCAGGAAGACAGAAGTGAGGGGTACGCCAGCCAGACAAAGTTGGGTGAGAAATGTGGTTGCATCTGAAGACATAATGACTGTGAATGCCTTACACATCAAGTTCATGAATGCAGCGGAGACTGGCCTTCTCAATCACTCTCTTGGTCAAATAATATCCAGTCACATGCCTGCTCAAAGGGAAGAAGCCAGTTTAGCTCCATTTGTCTGAACAGATATTGGATATCTCCAGTTATGATCTTTATCTGTGATCCAGTTTGTCTAGAGATCCAGGGACCATTCCTAGGAGATGCTCAGGAGAAAACTGAACAGCAAAGGAAACAACAAAAGAGCTTATCACCAGAGGCTAGGGACACAATGACAAAAAATGTCTGTTTTCCTGTGAACCCGGGTGGAAACCTGGTTGGCCAGCAGTGTGGCAAGACCTGGGGACTCTTGGGCCCAGAGTCAGTGGACTAGAGTGGAGAGTAAAGTGTTCAGTTGATAGGAAGAGAGGGCATATGCACAAGAACACCCACACTTACAGATAATACCCACTCGACCTGGCTTCAGTGACTGGATGATCAGAGCTCAACTAGAAGAAGAAAGAAGAGGAAAAAAAGAGCAATTTGATACAATTTGATGAACTTGACCTACACCTATGGATGCAGTAGCTCAAAAGAGGGAACAAATCTTTACAGTGAGGACCATTCCCACCCCCTCCATACACAGAGTAGACAGGGATGGGCAACTTGGACATTGGCTACCCAAAATGGGGGACTACAAAGGCAAGAAGTGATTGGCTTACAAACTTTCAAGAGGTAGCCTAGATCCAGAAGATGTGGAGGAAGGTAGAATCTCCACTGAGTAGTATCCAATCTGTCTGTGTGTGGGGCTGATGAAAGGAGATGCCGATAAGTCTCTTGTGATACAATAGTGAATAATTGTTATCTGGACTGTTTGTGAGTGTTAGAAATGTAAAGGTAGACGTTTTGTAGTAAAAGGAGGGGAGTGGTTGACTTTGCAGTCTAGGAGTGGAGGTCCCTGGGATCATTAAGAGAGAAGAGTGGAGAGCAGGACCTTACCCAGAGAAGCAGTGATGTCAGAGATGGAGGCAGAGATGATGACATGGACAGATGGAGCGGCTGGGGACTTAAGACCTAGAGAGGGAGAGCGACTGTGTGCGGATGACTGGGGGATGGGGGGGGGAGCAGGCTTGTAGGATCTACCCTTTGGTTAGTTGATCATGCATGGAGGGGATCATAACCATGGCAATGATAGGGTGAATGTAAAGCTAATGTTCTCCCATGTAAACTATCACATAATTCACAATAAAACATTTTTTTTAAGTGTTTATTTTCCTCCAGGACATTCAAAGATTTTACTACAGAGAAGCTGTGTGCCTGTGATTATCGCATGTGGTACCAGTGGCAAGTGTCATCGTCTTGGGGAGCGGGGGCGGGGGTGAAGGATGACCAATAAAGCCATCAGAAGGAGGTAAGTCCACACATTTCATGCTCACAGAAAGCACCACAATGAGCTGAGAAATTGCTCACGGGTGGAAGTTAGAAAGGATCGTAGCAGCTCTTGTACTGAAACGCTTCCTAGTGTCTGGAACTCCAATGAAAGGAAGTCAGCACAGCATATCCCGTCTCCCTCTGCCACGGGGGCATCAATGCTCACGAGCCCAGTGCCATGTCAATGGGACATATCTGCTCTGTCACAGGCCTGATTTGCCATAAAAGAATGAATTTCAAAGCCCTCAGCAACTGTCCCTGGAGGTCTTTGGACCATGGCCCCACCCCTCCACCCCCACATCAGCCCCTTTGCACAGGTTTCCTGACAATCCTGACAAGAGCCCCCTCTGGCACTAGAGAAGTCACTTCCTGGCAGAAAGCAACACGCAGAAGGAAGACGCCAAGTCCATGCTCCTGACATGGTCCTTCAGAACAACCCCACAGGCCTGGTTCTGTCCTGGCTCGATTCCCCCCGCATCAAAGGAAATTCAATACCAAGGCAGCTATAAAGACAGCTCCTGGGGGAAAAGATTCCTTACCGTCTCTCCTCGGGCTCGGAAAGGTCCTCTGGCAGCAATCATCTCATACAACGTGACCCCCAAGGCGAAGTAGTCCACAGAAAAATCATACTCTTCACCCCGTAACAGCTCAGGGGCCATGAAACCTGTCAAGGGACAAGGACAAGCACAATGCCCAACTCTGCTGTGAGGGCTGACCTGGGAATTGTAGAATGTTTAGCGGCATCCCTGGCCTCTCCCACTAGATGCCAGTAGCAATCCCTACCCTAGTATGAGGCTCAAAAAGGTCTCCATTTTGTAACAAAAATGGCGGAGTAGTTAATCTTACAGTTCAGAATCACAGGACCCTAGGACCATCAAGGGAGAAGAGCACAAGCAGAATGTGGGACCCTATCCAGAGAAGCAGCGACACCAGAGATGGAGGCAGAGATGGGGACATGGAGAGAAGGAGTAGCTGAAAATTCTAGATTCATGGAAAGAGAGGGACTGCGTGCTGGCGACCAGGAGACAGGCTTGCACAAAGTGCCCTTTGGTTGTTTAAATGATTCATATATTCCTGAGTGTTTTTATGTACATCCCCACCCCCTAAAACTAAATAAATAAAAAGAGAGGGAATAGAAGCAAATACTGTTCAATGATCATGCACTGAGATTGTAATCATTGCAATGAAACAATGGTGTAAAACTGATATTCTCCCATATAAAGTATCACTGAATTCACAATACAAACTTAAAAAAAAAAAGTCTTCAGACATTGCTAAATGTCCCCTTGAAGACAAAATTGCCCATGGTTTTATATATATGTATACACCTTTGTATGACAAACCGATAAACACTGGACTGCCAATCCAGTACAAGTTCCGTAGTTTGAGCCCGCCAGCTACTCCTCTGGAGAAAGATGAGGCTTTCTCCTCCCATGAGGATTTAAAACCCTGGAAACCCTATACAGGGTTGCTATGAGTGGGAACCAACTCAACAGCATTTAACAACAACATAATATGTGGTGTGAATACACAGTTCCCATTTTGGTACCTCAAACTCAGAAAGGATGGAAATATCAATCTATGATCAAACTGAAGAATGACTCTCCTTCATTGCCTCTAACACTACAAAAGGGCACACGTGACGTGTGGTGTTTATAGGATCTGTGTGGTCTTATGATGAGCTTCAGAGACTGGCACTACAGATGGTTTCATAGGCCACTTGCTTCCTAAATCGGCCACATAAGGACACATATAAGCCAAGCTACGAAGAGTTGTCCCAGGTGCCACACTTTGGGCCAAGGCCTTGCCAAGGCCAGGGCTCTGTGACATTCACCCTAATGACCTTGTAGACAGCCCTAGATGCGTTTAGCAGCATCATTTACTATAGCTGCCGTGCATTTAGTCTTTGATGGGTGCCAGGGACAGCTACAGTATTATCCCATTTAATCCTCATACCGCCAAGACGTAAGTGTTGTTGCGATTCTCGTATTCTATGTTGTTGTTGTTGTTGTTAAGTGCTGAGTTGGTACCGACTCATAGTGACATTGTGCACAACAGAACAAAACACCGCCTGGTCCTGGAACATCCTCACAATTGTTGCTACATTTGAGTCCACTGATGCTGCCACTTGGGGTCTTCCTCTTTTTCTCCGACCCTCTACTTTAACTAACATGATATCCTTCTCCAGTGACTGGTCCCTCCTGACAATATGTCCAATGTATGAGAGATGAAGTTTGGCCATCCTGACCTCCAAGGAGCACTCTGGCTACACTTCTTCCAACACAGATTTTTTTGGTTTTTTTGGCAGCCCATGGCACTTTCAATATTCTCCTCCAACACCATAACTCAAAAGCATCAATTCTTCTACAGTCTTCTTTTTTCAGTGTCTACATTTTGCATGCATATGAAGTTATTGAAAATACTGTGGCTTGGGTTAGACACACTTTAGTCCTCACAGTGACATATTTACTCTTCAACACTTTAAAGAGGTCTTGTGCAGTAGATTTGCCCAGTGCAATCTGTTCTCGTAGTCTATGTTATTGTTGTTGTTAAGTGCCTACGAGTTGATTCCAACCCATAGTGACCCTGAATAGGGTCTCCGAGGAGCAGCTGGTGAGGTTGATCTGCCGATCTTGCAGTTCAAAGGGCTTTGCAGTCTGCCGCATTAACCCACAGCGCCACAAAAGGACTCCTATAGGGTTTAGTCAGGATTAAAATCCAAGGATTTATATACCAAAATCTGAGCTGCCAACCACTCCATTGTTCTTCAGACATGATCGTTAAATCAACTAGTTAGCTACCTAATTGTGTTTTGATAACTTAGGTTTTAATTTTAGCAAAGTTATTCATTTGCCTAAAGAAATGTGTTGTTGTTCAGTGCCTTATGTAGGGTTTCCAAAGAGCAGCTGTTGTTGTTGTTGTTAAGTGCCGTCGAGTCGGTTCCGACCCATAGCGACCCTGTATAGGGTTTCCGAGGGTGTAAATCCTTACGGGAGTAGAAAGCCTCATCTTTCTCCCGCGGAGCAGCTGGTAGTTTCGAACCGCTGACCTTAAGGTTCGCAGCCCGATTCGTAACCACTACGCTACCAGAGCTCCTTAAAGAGCAGCTGGTGGGTGTGACTTACAAACCTTGTTGTCAACAGTCCGGTGCTTATCCTACAGATCCACACCAGGACTCCATAAATAGATAGTTCTAACGGGGTTGTTTCTAAATGATCGTAGTCTGCTGACTTCTCTTCTAGTCCATTCTCACTTTTCAGAATTCTGTTAGAAGAATATTTTGGAATGAATACCCATGTCTCTGTAGGATAAGCACTTGGCCATCAGATCTGTTTGAACTACAGGGTTGGCAATTCAAACACAGCAGCCGCTCCTTGAAACCTTTTACAGGGTCGTTAAGAGTCGGAACCGACTCAACAGCACCTCACAACCAGCACTTATGTCGCTAACCAACATGCTCCGAGTGCTCAGAGTGCTCCTAGTGCTCCTCCTCTTGAATGTTTGTGTTTGGTGCCTCCTGGGGTGGGGGGGCTCCCTGTTATGGGAGTTGAGGATTCTCTCCCTTCAACCACCCATCACTCACCCTCCTATGCTTCACACCTCTTCCCTCCTCCCCTCCATCCATCCATCCCTCACTCACCCTCCTACGCGTCATACCTCTTCCCTCCTCCCAGGGCATTATTCTGGTTGACCAGCATTCAAGCCAGCACTATTCCTGACTGAACCAAAAATTAATCTTCACTTAGGGCTTATTCCTAAGGAGCTCTGGTAGTGTAGTGATTACGAATCAGGCTGCTAACCTCAAGGTCAGCAGTTCAAAACTACCAACTGTTCCACAGGAGAAAGACGAGGCTTTTTGCTCCCTTAAAGATTTACAGCCTCAGAAACCCTGTGCAGGGTCGCTAGGAGTAGGTACAGACTCCACGGCACATTATCACCACCAGCACCACAGCATATTCCTTATATGTTTATAGTTTTCACAGATTCTGTTGTCTTGTTTTTCATTTGATTAGTTTTTTGTGTACTATTTATGTGACAACTCTCTAATTCCCTATCAGGAGTACTGGTGTGGCACTGTAGGATAAGCACTGGACTGCTAACTGAAAGGTTCTCAGAAAACCTACACAAGGTCGCTATGAGTCGAAACAGACTCAGTGGCACTTAACAACAATTGCCTATCATGTTTTGGTTTTAGGTTTTAAATGTGAATTGAATGATAGTTTACGTGGAAGAACATCGATTTTACACCACGTTTCATTGCAATGATTACAATCTCTCAGTGCATCATCATTCAACAGTATTTGCTTCTAGTCCGTCTCGGTTTTTTTGTTTTGTTTTGTTTTTTTTGAGGGGGGTATGTACGCAAAAACACTCAGGAGTATGTAATAATTTAAACCACCAAAAGGCACATTCTGTAACCCACCAGCACTTCAGTCCCTCTCTTTCCATGAGTCTAGAGTCCTCAGCTGCTCCCTCTCTCCATGTCCCCAACTCTGCCTCCATCTCTGGTGTCACTGCTTCTCTGGATAGGGTCCCACATTCCACTTGTGATCTTCTCCCTGATGGTCCTAGGGTCCTCTGTTTCTGGACTGTAAGATTAACTTCTTGTTGTTGTCAGGTGTCATCGAGTCGGAACTGACTCATAGCGACCCCATGCACAGCAGAACGAAACAATGCCCGATCCTGGGCCAACCTCACTACCGCTGCCACACTTGACGCCATCAATGATGCCACCTGTCCAATCCATCTCATTAGGGGTCTTCCTCTTTCTCTCTGACCCTCCACCTTACCCAGCATGACATCCTTCTCCAGCGACTGTTTCCTCCTGACAATATGTCCAAAGTATGAGAGACAAAGCTTAGTCATCCTGGCCTCCAAGGAGCACTCTGGCTACACTTCTTCCAAAACAAATCTATTGGTTCTTTTGGCAGTCCATGGCACTTTCAGTATTCTCCTCCAATACCACAACTCAAAGGCATCAATTCTTCTACGATCTTCCTTATTCACTGTGCAGCTTTCGCATCCATATGAGGCTATTGAAAACACCATGGTCTGGGTCAGGCGCACCTTAGTCCTCAAGCTGACATCTCTGCTCTTCAACACTTTAAAAAGTTCCTGTGCAGCAGATTTGCCTAATGCAATACGTCGTCTGATCTCTTGACTGCTGCTTCCGTGAGTGTTGATAGTTGATCCAAGAAGAATGAAGTCCTTGACAACTTCAATCTTTTCTCCATTGATAAGAATGTTGTTTATTGGCCCAGTGGTGAGGATTTTTGTTTTCTTGACATTGAGATGTAATCCATATAGAAGGCTGTGCTCTTTAATCTTCATAAGTAAATGTTTCAAGTCCTCTTCACTTTCAGCGATCAAGGTTGTATCATCTGCATATCACAGGTTGTTAATGAGTCTTCCTCCAATCCTGATGCCACGTTTTTCTTCATAGAACCCAGCTTCTCGTATTATTTGCTCAGCATACAGGTTGAATAAGTATGGTGAAAGAATACAACCCTGTCTCACACCTTTCCCAATTTTAAAACATTCAGTGTTCCCATGTTGTGTTCGAACAACTGCTTCTTGGTCTAGGTACAGATTTCTCAGAAGTACAATTATGTGTTCTGGAAGTAAGATTAACTACTCCCCCATATTTGTTACAGAACTTCTACC